GCACACTGCTCTGTATTTGCTACCCTTTCATATGTCCAGGTGCTGCTAGTATACTGTGCTTATTTCAGGTGGCTGTTCTTGAATTCTGCTGGAGGGGCAGTTAACCCTAATGTCATGACCCTGGGAGTCCTAATTAGTGCACCAACGCTTCGTCAAGAACAGTGAGGAACTTGATGCTCTTTCAGATCAACTGGTTTTTATTGTTGTTTCTTTAAAATAAACAAACAATCATTATTTTTGTTCATTTGTAATAGATTCAATTTTTAGTTCCCTTTCTTCTTTGAAATCTACCAATAAACATAGGTAAACAAAACTTACACTTTTAGGAAACAGCAGTTTTCTTAAGTGAGGCTCAAACTCTTCACCATTCTAGATGAGGAGTTCATGTCCTGATTCTTAGCACTACCACCATGACACTATTGTTAAACCTGCCCCTTCATACTTAACAGGAACACCCTGTCACACAATCACTCAGTAACTGTGAGAGAGGACAGCCCAATGACAAGACAACATTCAATGGTGCCTGTGATAGAGCTGTCTTTTTCTTTGCACAGTTGTATGACAAATATTGCTGATCCAATTTTGAACCCAGTCTGACACAAATTCATTTCTATGCTGAAATACTGCATACAAAGTTAATGCGAAAAGCAAATTTTTATGGACAATTTATAAACCTGCTGAAGACAGAGGTTTGTAGAGGAAAGAAACACTGACAGAACACCAAATACAGCAGTGCGAGTGGCTGATGTCATCATGCAGCTATAAAATAAAAGCGTAGCAATTTATTAAAAACTTCTTTTAAAATTATTATTTGTTAAATTCAGAAGATGCTATACCCTGTACAAGTCCTTGCCTTGGAAAGCTCAAAATATTTAATGTATTTGTTTTATTAATGCCGAATGTATCAAACGAGGCTGTATTAACAGTCTTGGAACAGGCACAGAATGGCCAACTTTCCCATAAATGTGCCTCAAATTTGCCATGAAGGGACCAACTCTGGGGTAGAGAGAGAGCAGTCAGTTTTCTAGGCCAAATCAATCCTTACACTTGCCACTAAGAATGATAATTGTGTGGTGGCGTTAGTGAGTTGGAAGTTGCCCACCAGAAACTGGACTGATGCCACTAACACATTGCATACAGATCAATGAACAAGGCATCAAAAGACATTGACTTTTATTCACTACCAACCTGAGCTGGATTCAAATCAGCACCTGAAGGGTGATATGCTCTACACCCCTTTCCCAATCCCTGAGCAATTAAATCCCTCAATAGGTAACTTTTTTCAGTTGATACTAAAGCATGTTATATCTGTTTTCAACCTACTTTAACCAAACCAGCCATATTTCTATTCTAACCTCTAAAAGCACGACAGACACACACAACTAGAGGGAGGTTCCAATTAAAGTCTGGAAGTTGGGGGCATTTTCTAATCATGGATGACACAACCCTGCTGTTACCTTACACAAGTTACTTAACTTGTCTGCTTCCAATTTCCAAACTATAAAAATCCCACTTCACAGCAGGCTTGTGGGTTCTATTTAAGTAATGTTTGTTAATGTTTGAAGAAGAAAACTGTTAGTATCATTAATATTGCTGGTTACCATACTTCTATTAAAGCCTAACTAGGATATGAAAAACAAATCAAATCAAAAAATAAACCATGGAGTGCATAATGATGCTCCATTGCACAAAGGGGAATGGATACACCAACTTTTAGCATTCCTGAGTTTTCTTCTAATTCTTCCCTTATAGAGGCGAAGTTCACCCAAACCAGATGAGGCTGAGGGTCTCAGTGCCCAGAGGGGGAGGATCTGCCAAGGCCAATTTTACAGTGCTTCTTGAACCCCCATACCACCTGGCTCTGACCTGAGTGCTGCTCCTAAAACCCCTTTTAGAGAGTAATATCAAGGAAAGTGGACGGGAAAACAACATATATTACTCAAGCCAACATTTTCAAACCTGGGTGCCAAAAGTTAGGCTCTTAAATCTATACTTAGAAATGTAAATAAAAAGTGGCAAGATTTTCAGAGATGCCAAACACAGGGTTAAAAAGTGGCAGAGTTGATGGCACTCCTAGCTTCTGCACCCTCCCAAGCTACGATCCCCAGGGGCTCTCTCCCCTCTCATTAGACATGTGTAAGGGGCATTGGAGCCTTTATTAATCAGTTAAGTTTATTTCTCCACAAGGTGTTCAATACTCTTTTCATTATTTTCAGTTATGTAGTTGAAAAGACAGCTAGAGATGACCCAAATGTGGCAGATTTATGGTGCAGAAATGCATGCTTATGGTTTGCTGCAACAGATCTTTATTAAATGGGGAAAGTGCACTTTAAATTAGATGCTATTAAGAGGTCCAATCTTTCAGACATAACGCTGGAAGCTCAGACAGAAAAAAAAATCTTTAAAAAAAAATTTTCACAGAAGTGTAAACAATTTTATAATTGCTTGTATCTTCTTGTTAAAAATTTTCCGCACAATTAACATCCATTAAGCAGCACTAATAGATAGCAATTAGGCATAAATTGCTAAACTAAGACTATTCATATATATAGTTCATTGCGTTAGTTAAGACTTTTAAATAGAGTACAAAGCAACCTTGAGTCACCTTACAGTTACATAACTTGCTCTGGATAATCAGACATTCTCAACTGAGCAACTAGTTCTATGCACCTTTGAATGTACAGGTGGGTTCAAAAGCACCTATGTGACATAGGACCACACATCCTAAGTCAGGGGTTCTCAAACTGAGGGTTGGGACCCCTCAGAGGGTCACAAGGTTATTACATGGAGGTCATGAGCTGTCAGCCTCCACCCCAAACCGCGCTTTGCCTCCAGCATTTATAATGGTGTTAAATATATAAAAAAGTGTTTTTAATTTATGGAGGGGGGGTCACACTCAGAGCTTGCTGTGTGAAAGGGGACACCAGTACAAAAATTTGAGAACCACTGTCCTAAGTCACTGAGACACTTTTCAAAAATCGCACCTTATATCTATACAACTAAGCTAACTTCAAAAACTGCCACTCTTAAAAAGCTGTATAGTTAATTGTTTAAATGTGTATAAAACTAGTTGATGATTACAGATTTCTGGAAAATTATATTTATCTCTTACCTTCTTAAATCAGTAGCATCTACATCAAAACAGGCAGTTTCTTGTAATCTTCCTCTACTTTATGAAGTATTCAGATCTTTTGCAAGCCCAAACTTTTGATAACGTTAGCAATTACATTTTCAAGAATGATGTGGCTATACTGTGTAACTGTCAGATAATACAGGACATAAAAGCCACTTCAAATCACTGACATGTAACAGGAATCAGCATTACAATGATAACAAAAGATATTTCCTATTTTGTATAAAAATGCAGCACAGGAAAATAAGGAAGTGCAAAATAACACTATAGGAAAGTCTTGGGATATTTTAAATATAATAGATATTAATTTCATTGAAACGGATGCTGCTTATGCATTTAGTGTATTAATTACTGGCAAATGGGACTTTTAAAATCAAAAAATTTAATTTTATGACCATTATATTCACTACTAACCATCCATTCTCAACAAAATAAATTTGGTTATTAATAACCAAATGTGTTTGATTTTTCTACTTCATAAATTAGGCTTTTTAATATTTTATTTTAAGTTAATGTAGTGTGGAAACTGTTGACCACTGGATTCCACTGACTTAAATTAGATGCATCGAACTGTAGCACACCACCCAGTAACACACTGTGCCTAATATAAAGAAGTGATGACAGCTATTTTAATGGCTACGTCTGATTCTAATCCCTAAAATATATCACCATTTACTTATATTTTATTCAATGCACCTATGTGATGTGGAAATTGACACTATAATTATGAATGAAAAAACAGTTTCCTGTGTGCCTAATAAACCTTTTAAGGACCAGCTGATCAACAGTTGTTTTTTGCTCACTATCCCATAGCTTTCGGTAAAGAAATAATGTTATACATATAGTGTCAAAGGCACACAGCACAGCTAGCCAGAATTATGGGCTACACACTACCAACAAGCTTCAGTTTTCTGCTTCCAGTAAATAAAGTGGAGAACCTGAACAGTAGCAGGATTCTAGCCAGCTGGCTGAAAGCTTGGTTGGCAGAGTGTCTGAACAGTTGCCAAGAGGTTAGGAATTAAATGGAACCTGAGTCATTTTTTAAGAAAAACCAAATAATTGTGGGATTTGGAAATAGAAGAATAAGTTATTAGTGCACATCTCACATTCACAGTTCTTTGACTATAAAGGCACCTCCCTCACCGCAGGATCAGCTTAACAAGAAGAAAGACTTAGACAGTTTTTATAGATACTTCCCCTGCAGGGTCACAAGAGGCAAAAGAAGTGTAGCAGAATCAGCTTGAGTGAGAGCAATATCTTTTATCAGATTGTATGACTATGTGAGAAATACCTGAGTATTAGCAGCTCTGAAAACCTGCCAATATATTCCTCAGTTTCTTGTGTAATTGTGGGTGGGGTAGATAAATTAATTTTCCATTCTTTAAAAGAAGTTTAGGGAATGGGAGGAAAGTCTTCATTGCAAGGACTTTTGGCAGTAAAATAAACTGATTCTGGCTGTAATCAACGTGCACAACCTCCACATTTAATATAATTTTTAAAAAATGACTGGAAAAGAAAATCGTCTTTTTGATGTGACATACAGAAGATCAAGTGATCTGACTGTTCCGAACAGGGCTTAGTGCCTCTACACACCCGGTGGACAATGACTCTATTCAGTAGCTGTCAACATACTCTCTTAGTAATAAACAGCAAGTCCTAGTTATGGAAAAAAATATGGACGCATAAACCATACATTTCTTCCCACTTTGCTACCAGAGGCCTCCTCTTTCTGCAGGCATGGTTGCTGTGGATGGGATGAGAATCCCTATGTCTAAAGTTTACCAGAGAGTGTAAGTTTGTAAGATCCTTTGGGAGGAAAGGCACTGTATAAATGTAAGCTATTATTATTATGAACAACTGTAATTACCTCGATGTATGGAACGATTTTGCAGGAGAAGTCTGCCAGCAGCCACTTTTTGGTGAGCTCCTGAAAGATCACCAGGGGCAGGCAGAAGAAGATGATGAGGAAGTCCCAGAAGGCCAGGTTGGCCAGCAGGGAGTTGGAGATACTCCTCATGTAGTAGTTGTGGCACACGATGCACATCACTGCCATGTTGCCCATGATCCCGATGCCGAATATCACCACGGACAGGCACATGACCGCATAGGCGCCGTACGACTCCTCGGTCAGCGGGTAGAAAGGGTTCTTCAGCCGGGCCCGGCGGCTTGTCCCATTGCTGCGGGCTCCTGCGCCCCTCTCTAGCCCACCGCGGGAGGAGCCATTCAAAGGCAGCAGCTGAGGGGCATCCTCCTCCTCTCCATCACCCCTGGCTGGAGGTGCCGGGCTGCCCAAGGAGCTGTTGAAAGGCTTTGCCAGGTTGCTATTCTTAAGGCTCCTGGGTTTCCCTCCCCCTCCTCCCTTGCCCCTGCCCTGCAGCTCGCTGGCTCCTCTCCTGCTCCTGGCAAGCCTCTTGGGGCTGTGGCTTGAAGCATGGCTGCTACCTTCCTCCCCGTGCACGGCAAGCCACTGGAGAGTAGAGTATCCTCCCATCCCCATAGCTACCGATCGGTCCGTATTCTCCCTCCCCTCGCCAGGGTCCTGCCCAGGGGTCTCAGGCTGCCTCCTAGGCTCCAGGGCAGGAAATCTACTGCTACTGTTCCTCACGCCCAAGCGAAGGGCAGCGTCAGCAGCAAAGTCCCTAGCGCCGTGCATCGGTGCAGCCTCTTCCGCCGCTGCATGTGGTGCTGTTGCTTTGGATCTGCTGGCAAGCGCTTTCTGCCACGACCCTCTGGCACCGTTTCCTAAACTGAATCCGCGGACGGTCCGGCGGCTCTCCTCTTTGGGTGAGGGCAGCACTTGCTGGAGCAGCCCAGGGGCTGCCTGGCGCCGGGTTGCATGCGGAGCACCTTCTCTCTCGCGATCCGCTCTCCCCTCCAGAGCAGCTGGGGCCAAGGGCGCCCGGGGGCCGGCCACTTGGGCGAAGGGGGTCAAAGCTCCGAGCAGCTGCAGGACCAAGGCGAATGCGAAGGGCGCGCGGTGGGGCTGCATGGCGGTGAGGTGGTCGCACTCGGTGGCTCCCCCTTTATAAGCAGCTGCTGCCCACGCTGGTGGTGTTAGGAGTTAGACCCATGTCCCTGCTGCTGACAAACACTCGCACACCGGCTCCAGCTGCACGGGGGAAAGCGGGGGTGGGGAGAAGGAGGATGAGTATTAATAAAGGACACTGCTAAGCCTTTGCACGTTTCAGGTTCGATTCATTTCCGCAGAAAATGTACCGAAAGGAGAGAGAGAGATCAGACAACAAACGAAGGGAAAATAAACTGCACGCCGAGGCGGGATCTTGTCCCTCCCCGCCCCCCCCCCCCCCCGCCCCAGCCTGGCGGGACAAACCTTGAGAAGTTGCATCAACGTCTCCGAATTATCGTAGCAAGTGCAAACGCTAGAGGAACCCGCCGCCCCCCATCCAGCGCGCCGCCCTTTCTGGGGTAACACTTGCAGCGGGTCTTGAGCTACCTAATCACATCCTCTTGATGTTGGCTTTATCCCGGCGGTTTGCCTCTACTGCACGGAAAGGTCTCTGCGAACATACAAGCTCCCTCCCCCCTGCCAGATCATTGCAAACACTCCTTCCTCTTCTCCAGCGCCTCGGAGTAAACAGGTTGCTGCATCCAGCCCAAGGGTGCTTAAGAGCTTTGCAAAACTCTTGCTGGAATTAGCGACCGCATCTGATCGGCGGGTAACACCGCAAGGTGAAATCAGATCATGAAATTAGCAGCGGCCAAGCGGCTCCTCCCGCCCGTTGCAAGTTCAGAGGGGAGCAGCAGCAGCCCCGGGAGTCCCCCCGCTAGTAACGTGTTGACCGGCTGCTTCTCCTTCGCCAGCGCGACGGGCGTGAAGAAGGGGCGGCGAGAGCCGCCGGGCCGGTGGAAAGAAGCGAGCCAGCGCTGCGCTGCATGGCCAGAGGGGGGAGGAAGAGGAGGAGAGCTGCCTGCGCGCGGTGGCTCAGTACTGCTGCCTGGAGCCGGGTGGCGTGGCTTGGCTCGGCTCGGCTCGGCTCGGCTCCGCTCCCCGCCCCGGGGCGAGCTGTTCGGAGACGGCCTCCCCTGGCGGCTCCCGCCCCACGGAACCCTCCTGCCGCCCGCGCGCCCCTTTGTAGCGGCTTCCCCCTGCGGGGAGGGACGGGGGCCCGCAGTGCGCAAGCGCCACTCCAGGGGCCCGGCACGGCGGCTCTTCGCGCGACCTGCTGCCCCAGATAGCGAGTGGCGGCGGGAGCCGGGGGGCGGCTGAGCTGCTCGCTTCCGCGCCTGACCCACTTTCCCAGGGCAAGCCGCTGCTCCCACCCAGCCTAGGTAGACCTGCCTTGCTAGGTTAGATCCGGGAAGGAGCTGCCCGGACATGGCAAGCGCAGCAACCCCGGGGCTCACTCCCTTGCGGCTGCCCCCCACCCACGCCCCGCTTCCCCCTCCATCCCCCCCCGTGTTCCGGGTCTCCTGTAATTCTCCAGTCACACCCTCCCGCCACCTCCACTCTCCGTCCCAGCTACTCTTGCTGCTGCTGCCTTCTCCCACCTGCAGCACTCCTGGGCCTTCCTGTCCCATCCTGACCCACTTCCCTCCCCGCGGCCAGCTCCTCGCACCTTGGTCCCAAGCCTGCACCCTGGCCAATGGGCGGGGACGCTTGCAGGTGGCCCTGGGGCTAGAACGCAGGCTCTCCTGCTCCGAAGGCTGAGGCCTGGATCCCATCCCCGGCAGGAGAATGGGTGGCCGTGGTCGGGCTGAACCCTTTGCGTTTTCATGCACAGTAGAGTGTGACCTGCTGGGTGGGGGAAAGGCCTCCTGAAGGAACCATTGATTTTTTTTCTCTTTAAATGAAGAGTTACTATTCCCTGCAGTTGCAGCCTCTGGCTACTTGGTAGTCATATCGGGGCCTCTTAACGGTGTCATCTGCGCACCAAGTAGCTTTCATTTCTGTGCCCTCACAACACCCCTATCTGGTAGGGAAGGGCTCTTGTATCCCCATTTTACAGATGGAGAACTGAGAGTCAGACTTGCCCACGGAAGACTGTGTTAGAAGAGGGAATTGAACTGGGGTACTGGAGTCCTAGGCTCCCAATGGAGCAGTCTTCCTTTCCATCAGTGTTACCTCATTCACCACTGGATTTGGAGAGGAGAAGATGTGCATCCAAGGGTAAGGATGGCAAGAACGAGAGCCAGATTATGGCATCCTGGGACCCTACACGCAGCAGGACACAGGCTCCCCAAGACCTCTCCTTTGTTTTTGTGATCTCTCATCCATCCTCTGACTCCAACCCCACTTAGAGTGTTTGTGGCAGGGGCCAAGTACACAAGGGAAGTCTGTTGGACCATGGGCCTACCATTACTCTTCGAGCATGTTAAGGCTTTCTTTCTTCCCAGACTGGCAAGGGTGGCAGCAGGGTTCCCTCCCCTCAGGAGTGGCAGGAATTGTGGCAAGGGAGCTCTCCTCCCAGAGGTTGGGGGAGCAGCATGGGGTTCCCTTCCTAATAAGTGGCAGCATGTGCAGTAGCAGGGGCCCCAGTACTTTCCGCAACAGCTGGGGTGTAGCTATTTGTGTCAGTGGGCCCACAGCACTTATCCCTTCTGCTTCACAAAGAATCCTCTGCTGGGATGGTTTTGGCAGAGCCCCTAGAATAAGGAGACCAGGAGTTAACCCTGCATTTAGATAGTACAGGTCAAACCTCTTACAGCTGTTGTTTCAGGCTGTCTGCAGACTCTAGTAAATATCACTACGTTGGTTACACTCAGGTTTTCAACCTTTTCTCTGTAATCACAAAGGCTAGAAACTTACTTTTTTAATTAAAGAAAGAATTCTGATGTAATCACATGACTTCAGGACTTGGGGTCCTAGAAAAACATAGTGGTCTTATTTGTGGACTGTGACTCTGGGTATGTCTATGCTGCAGTTAAACACCAGTGGTTGGCCCATGTCAGCTGTCTTGGGCTCCTTGGGCTCAGGCTGTGGGGCTACAAAATTGCGTTGTAAACATTTGGGCTCAGGCTGGATTCCGGTCTGAGGGATCCTACAGGGCAGTGAAAACATACCTTATGAAAAGGGTCTGCTCAAGGGGTAGAAGTGCTATGGCATTACCTTCCCCAGTGGAAGTGGTAGAGAGGGCTTTCCAGAAACTCATTGTCCTGATGATTTCAGCTGGTAAAGCTTGAGACAGGGAACAAGGGAAGAGAAAGGGAGCTGCCCAGGCAGAGTTATGGCTGATGGAGAAAGGGATATCCAAGGATGGGACTGTAAATGTAAGCCCTTCATATTTTGGTGTAAAAGTGCTTAATACTAGCCCAGCAGCAAATAATCATCAGCAGCTCCTCAAGGAGAGGCAATTGTTTGTGTTCCAAATGATTGGGGAAGGCAGGCCCAAGTGTCTCTCTCCCTCTCCTCCCTCCACACACTCTTATATTAGTTTCTTTGCTGCCCACAGTCAGAAAATCAGAGACTTTCCTCCTAACTCTCACCATGCCTTTCAAATTTCCCCTAAATCTCTGCTCCTTCTCAGTGCACCATAGTTGACCACACTCAGACACACTAAAATCTCCACTGAAATTGCTTTAGAATGCCTCCATCCCTGTTATTTCAGGTTTTGTCCAAATTTAACCTTTTGCAGACATTATTTTCCCCTTGGTCAACCCCCAAACTTTTAAAGATATTTCTGGCTCTGTCCCAAAACAAGCCTTAAAGCCACTCTTTTCTCACCTTTCTCCCAAGTCCCTGGTCTATTCAGTTCAACGTACAAAAACAAGGTAGTTAAAGTACACCGATCACCCAAGGCATATTTTATAATTGTGAGAGCAGGGACTAAAATCAGGACCATGGGCCCAATCCTGTGAACTCTCCCCCTGGGGAACTCCCACTGATTTCTTAGAGTTCTGCAGGGAAAGTGTGGGACCCTGAATGGAGGAGGCAACCTAGTGACAGATGATGTGGAAAATGATGAAGTACTCAATGCTTTTTTTGCCTTGGTCTTCACAGACAAGATCAGCTTCCAGCATAGGCACTGATTGTGTGGGTGCTCTGGGGCTGGAGCACTCACGGGAAAAAATTAGTGGGTGCTCCACACCCACCGGCAGCCAAGCTCCCCCCGCCACCACCTCCTCCTCCTTCCCTGAGCATGCTGTGTCCCCGCTCCTCACTATCTCAGCACTTCCCGCCTGCTGCCTAACAGCTGTTTGGCGGCGCTTAGGACTTTCCAGGAGGGAGGGGGAGGAGGCAGAGAAGAGGCGGGGTAGGGGTGGGGACTTGGGGGAAGGGGAGGAATGGGGTTGGGATGAGGGTGGTGCAGGGGCGGGAAGAGGAGGTGCCAGGGCGGGGCCAAGGGGATCGAGCACCCACCGGGCAGAGGGGAAGTCAGCGCCTATGGCTCCCAGACTGCTGCACTGGGCAGCACAGTATGGGGATGAGGTGGGCAACCCTCAGTGGTGAAAGAACAGGTCAAGGACTATTTAGACAAGCTGGACATACACAAGTCCATGGGTCTGGATCTAATGCACCCGAGGGTGCTGAGGGAGTTGGCTGATGTGAGTGCAGAGCCACTGGCCATTATCTTTGAAAACTCCTGGCGATCGGGGGAAGTCCCGGACGACTGGAAAAAGGCTAATGAAGTGCCCATCTTTAAAAAAGGGAAGAATGAGAATCCGGGGAACTACCAACTGGTCAACCTCACCTCAGTCCCTGGAAAAATCATGGAGAGGTTCTCAAGGAATCCATTTAGAAGCACTTGGAGGAGAGGAAGGTGATCAGGAACAGCCAACATGGATTCACCAAGGGCAAATCATGCCTGACCAACCTGATTGCCTTCTATGATGAGATAACTGGCTCTGTTGATATGGGGAAAGTGGTGGACGTGATATATCCTGACTTTAGCAAAGCTTTTGATATTGGTCTCCCACAGTATTCTTGCCAGCAAGTTAAAAAAGTATGGATTGGATGAATGGACTATAAGATAGCAAGCTGGCTAAATCATCGGGCTCAATGGATAGTGATCGATGGCTCAATGTCTAGTTGGCAGCTGGAGTGCCCCAAGAGTCAGTTCTGGGGCCGGTTTTGTTCAACATCTTCATTAATGATCTGGATGATGGGATGGATTGCACCCTCAGCAAGTTCACGGATGACACTAAGCTGCGGGGGAGAGGTAGATGCGCTGGAAGGTAGGGGTGGGGTCCAGAGTGACCTAGACAAATTGGAGGATTGGGCCAAAAGAAATCTGATGAGGTTCAACAAGGACAACTGCAGAGTACTGCTGCACTTAGGATGGAAGAATCCCATGCACTACTACAGTCTGGGGACCGACTGGCTAAGCAGCAGTTCTGAAGGACCTAGGGATTACAGTGGACGAGAAGCTGGACATGAGTCAACAGTGTGCCTTTGTAGCCAAGAAAGCTAACCGCATACTGGGCATTAGTATTAGCATTAGCATTAGTAGGAGCATTGCCAGCAGATCGAGGGAAGTGATTATTCCCCTCTATTCAGCACTGGTGAGGCCACATCTGGAGTATTGTGTCCAGTTTTGGGCCCCCCACTACAGAAAGGATATGGACAAATTGGAGAGAGTCCAACGGAGGGCAACAAAAATTATTAGGGGCGTGGGGCACATGACTTATGGGGAGAGGCTGAGGGAAATGGGCTTATTTAGCCTGCAGAAGAGAAGAGTGAGGGGGGATTTGATAGCAGCCTTCAACTACCTGAAGGGGGGTTCCATAGAACAGTGGTCTCCAAACTGGGGTGCGCACACCCTAGGGCGTGCGTGAGATGATACTAGGGGGTGTGCGGCAGCAGGAGTGCCGCTGGACGGCACTCTGCCATTTTATTTCTTCAGTGGCAGCTTTGCACGTCCACGGTTGGTGTTCCCCTCTCCACCTGCAGTAAGTCTTCTGTTCTTCTTCCGTTGGCCGCGCACCAGCGGCAGGTCTTCCGATCTTCTTCCATCGGCGGCACACCTGCGGCAGGTCTTCC